ATTATTGAAAAAAAAAAAAAAAAAAAAAAAAAAAAAATTCTTGAATTGCAAGCTTTTGGGCGCAAACACCCCTCCATCAGGCATCAGAGAAAAAGCTGTAAAAGTTGTCCTGAGTAGAAATGAAAATTCACATTTCATAGGAGATTTGAAGGTGGTAAAAGTCTCCTATTTTGCAAAGTTCATTTTATATGCAGATCAGGCTCAGAGAAATGCTGGAATAGTTTCTTTACCTTGAAGTCGTTTCTTGGTAAGCAGGATGTATTCATCTTTCTGCGCCTGAAAGCTTGCAATTAAAGAAATTTTTTTTGCACAAATCAAGTTGGTCTAATAAAAGAGATCACCTCTGCCGCGAGTCCTGAATGCTTCGTCTCATAGACAATTCGCTGCAGCTGAGGGCGAGCGCTTCTTGGACCAGCACTGCCTATTTGAAACGTCACAGCTCTGCAAACACCGAAGCCCCTGTCTAATTTCATTTGCTAAGTAACGTGTACCTGAAAAGTTTGTCGGAACAGAGCTGCGGCTCTTTATTACACCGTTAGTTATGGGTGCTTCCATAATGTAACTATTCACGACTGCCTTTTCCGCTCCAAGCAGAGAGCTGGATTAACTCAACGACCCCTGAGTATCCATCGCACCCTTCCACGTACATAAATTCCTTCCAGAACAGACTGTGTTAATTGCTAATTGCCACCCTTTTGGTGAATAAGTTTTAGTAACCCGCAACCACACACAATAGACTGCCTTTCTACGGCAAAAAGCCACGCCATGCTCCTGGCATCCTCCCACCCTCCCCGTTTAAATAAGGTCTCCTCTGCACATACCTGCTGATGGAGAAACCCGTTTCTTGATGATTTGCCGCCCAAAGAAATCAGTTGCCGGCTGCCAGAAGGAATAAAACAAGATACTTACACGATCATTTCACACTCTCTCCTATAAGCGCTAGAAGGAGAAGGCTCACGCAAAGAAAACTAAACCGGTGTGCCAGGACACGTAGGCAGCGTTAGGTATTACCCTCCTGCTAGATGACATCAGACCCCCGACTCTGCAAACTTTCTTTTTAACACATTCTAGAGTTTATGAACAGAAACAATCATCTTTTATCCTACTTTTCTGCCGACACAGATTTGGACTCAGGTTGCAGCAACGGAGGCTTAGTTGGTTACTAGGAAAAACTAGTCAGTAGGAAGGTGGCCAGTCCCAACCCAGGAAATCGTGTAAGTAGAAAATAGCCCCCCTGGCCCTGAACCCGACTCCTGGGGGGAGCATGGGGTATCGGGAGGGCCTCAAGCAGCCCGAAACACCGCCAGCCTACAAGGGAAACCTCACAGTTCCCGCTTTTAAAGGAGAATCCATTTTTAAAGTGTGCTTGTGACCCTTTCATATATTCTTGCAACCTGCTTTTGGGTTGTGACCCAAGGGGTGAGAAACGCTGATTTACATAACCAGGTGGAGAATCGTATACACACACACACATGCATATTTTGCTGGAGGCTGGATCACACTCATCCCATCAGTTAGCCTCTCTATAAACCGTGCTGGTGTGCAGCCATGGGGTGCTAGCACACGCTTTGCTGGGGAAGCCTGAATGCCAGGCAGCTGAAGGATGCTCGGATTTACTTCGTAGTCCCAGGTGGGCCAAAAAGTCTGTTATCTCCAGCTGAAGATTAATGACATTCAGCGCAACAAAAAGAGCAGATGAGAGCAAGGGCCCTGGAGCGCGCCAAGGCACATGGGTTTCTCTTGTTTCCAGACTGCCACTGGGGCAACCCCAGCCTGGGCGAGTGAATGCAGGTGCCCTGCAAGTGTGGAGCGATCACTGGGAAGGAGGAGGAAAGGGGCTTTGGACACCACCTGGCAGGACTGGACCCAAAGGCTGCTGCAGTGCAGCTAGCTGGAGGATCGCAGCGCAGCCAGGCTGGCTCCAGACCCCGCGTAGACATGGGATGGCTTTCCTTACCAGCTGTGGGCTGAAGTGTGCATGCACTGGCCTGAGAGGGAGCCTTAAAAGCAGACGCAAGATGAGGCACCCTTCCTTGGGGAAGACCAGCTGCTTTGGACCGGTATCGCTGGGCCAGTCTCAGCTCCGTGAGCGCACACCGAGCTCCCCACTCCCCTCGAGGCCCGTGCTGCGCTTTGCACGGCAAAACCACAGCTCGCCAGGCTTTGCATCCCCCACGTCTCTCCTAGAGACAACTGCTGAGGAAGCAAAGCAAAAGCAGAAGGGGATGTGGGCGGGGGGTGAGACACTGTGTCCTCAGCAAGGAGCTCACCCCTCCTCAGGCGCCTGGAAACACCCCCAACGTGCCAACCCCTTCAAGCTTGGATGCCCAGCTAAAACAAGGAGCAGGTTTCATGATTAAACGACCAAAAGAGACCGGTAGGAACAGAGACACGGCGCAGCAAGGCAACGTGTTTGAAGCAAGCTCTGGAGCCCGTGCACTGCTGCATTTTTACCATAGTTGGGGCTTTTAAAGGATAAGAGTCTGCAACCCTGGATGCGACGGGCTGCAATGGACCAAGCCCTGCCGGTGCAGCTCAGCCTTGGGTCTGACAGGGCACGGTGCATCTGGGATTAGGAGGATCTTGGCTGCAATGGTTATTTAGGCATCACGTACCTCCAGCAGTTCCCCAGTGCACCGTGTCAAACAAGCAAGCACAGGCTGGTCCACGGACCTTTCCTTTGCTATCGCCTACAATCCAGTAACTCGCAGCTGGATTTCCAGGGCGTAGCGAGAACCGGCCAGGCCTTGCTGTGGCAATCAGCCTGACTTCGGTGTGGACACGAGGATGGGAGAACCCAAGGCAAAATGCTCCTGGGTCAATCCTTGTGCTTTAAAACAAGGCAGCTGCAGCCATCGTCTTTTCCCGGGCTCATATGTTGTATCTGCCATTAACCTGATTTCTCCTGGGTGGGATTACGGACATGTAAGGACCTACGGGATGAGCTGTGGCTAGCAGCGCTGCTCTGCTCGCTGCCCAGGAGCCGGAGGGCTCTGGAGACTGGTGGGAAGTTGCACGTTCATTTCCTGATCCCTTGCACAGTCCTTGATTTCAGACGTCAAGACACCCCCGCCACCCAAAGCTGGCTCCTCGGAGGCCTCAGGGAATTCAACCATGGCTCAGTTCCCAACAGAAGGGGGTCATGCCAACTGTAAATGGCCCCCAGTTTGGCTAGTCGTAGCACTGGTTGGGCCAAATACCCTGTGGGACAGGGCCCAGGTGCTCTAGGACCCCATCGGCTCTGCAAACAGAGGGGTTCACTCCATGGGGGCGAGAGGCTAGACTCCCCGTGTGACCCCAGGCAATTCCCAGCATCTTCCTCTGCCCCTGGGGCCTGTGCGTAACAGGACTTACCCCCTGGACCAGGTGGGACACAGGCTGGATGGATGGGAGCTGAAGAGGCAAAGCCCCCCCTTGGTCTCCGGGTTCCCGCACGCAGCCTCGCCCCCGGCGATCGAGGCCCCACCGAGCCCGACATCAGCTGAAGGCTTTGCCTCCGGGTGATAAATATTGCTAATGCTGCATCTGCTGTAGAGGAGGCCATTCTGCCATCAATATTTAATAGGGACCGCTCTATGCGCTATAAAAACCACCACGGCATTTCAGGGAAGTGCAGCATCCAATCCCTTTTTGCAGAGACAAAAGGAGGGCTATAAATAACCACTTTCACCCCCTTTCTCCACTCCCCCCCAACACCCTTTGCAAAAGAGCTCTTTGCTACGCTCGTGAGGTTGGCCCCTTCCCCTCCCCAATGCCGGCAGCATTCAGATCCAAAATCGAAGCCACCCCACCCCAGCGCTGCTGCAGCCTGCCCAGAGTAGCCGAGCGAGCAGTTTTAAGCACGGATCACGGCCCGCCACGGCCGTTTAATGCAGGGTTATGTAATCGGCATTAAAAGCAGCAGCATCCCAACATCTGCCACCTCCGCGACGGCAGGCTTATCTGGATATCAGCAGCAGCGACTGCGGTCCGGCCCCTCGGAAAAGCGCTGTTTATTTTTTTAATGGCTCCCAGGATGTTCAAATCCCAAAGCCCATTCGAGCAGAGGAGGGAGCACAAGGTTTCTTAGCTACTTCTCTGCAGCAGAATTGGCGCGCGTTTGCCGACTGCACAGAAACGGGGGCCAATGCTGCTTTCCTTCCCACGTTCCTGCCCCTCCAAGCTCTTGCAGGCCTTGCAAACCCAGGGCTGAGCATCACGGCTAGTTTTATAGTATCATCACTCCCATGAACGTGGCTGAGCCCCGTTAGGTCCCGTCATCGAAAGACCTGGCCTAAGAGGGCTGAAAAGCAGTATAGAGTTAGAAACAACGGGAGCTTGGTATAAGACCTTCGGACTCTTTCTGCAGCAACTGCTTCGTGGTTTTTTAATGCTTTTGGAGAAGGGGCAGAGAGCAAAGAAAAAAGAAGTGCAAGAGTAACTGCATCCCCAGCACAGCTGGCATGTCTCAAATGTGGCACAGAGACACGCAAAGCTGGCATGTCTTGCTGTGGGAGGCTGCCTGGGACATTGTGGCTTTCAAAGAGGAGCTGTGAGCTCTTCATCCTCCATCTGGACAGTCAGTTGCATGTGGAGGTACTGGTTTAGCATCTTCCTGCTAGAGAGCATCTCCCTATGTCCTACCGCAGGGCTTGAACCCACTGCATCACGGGCAGAGGGCAGCCACGGGGAAGGGGACTGGAGTGCCATCAAAAAAACCCATGCTAGGCAAGATGTTTTTAAAGAGCAGAAGACAACGGTGGTTATTTGAACACTGGGAAAACCACATGCCAATGAGACAGTGGCTGGAAACACTTCTTCCACATCTCCCTTCATCAAGGCCAGATGAAAACTGTTGCATCCAGGCTGGACTTGCATTGCTGACCCCAAGTCGGAAACAGCCCCCAGGGTCCAACCCAGCCCGGGACACCGCGGCCTCCTCGCAATGGTTTCCCCCTCACCTTCTCATCGAACACGGCGTTCTTCATGATGTGCTCCAGACGCTGCTCGTGGTTGCGGATGCCACTGGCCTTGCCCGTCTCAACCTTCACACCCGGCTTCTCTTCCGTTTTACCTGGGTTGCCTTCAGGGTCCTGTCAAGAGAGCGGGTTTATTTGGATGAAGCACGTTGCATTTGCAACACCTCCTTTGCCAGGAGTCTTGGCCTGGGAATGATGTTGTTTCGCCACTAATTTTTAGCGTGTGCTTTCAAAGGTCCCCCGGCTGCCATCCAGATCTAGCTCATGTGGGGGTCTCAAGGTTCAAATATCATCAGCTTATTAGGTCATTTGGTGGACGGGATGCTGCAGTCCAAGTCAAGGGAGTCCAACCCCGACTCGACCACCGATCGAGGGGGATGACCTCCAGTAAGTCACTTCACCTCTCTGGTGGCTCCTACCTTTTTGCTTGCCAGGTCTAATTCGACTGCCAGCTCTTCAGGGCAGGAGCTTTACACGGCCGAGATCGGTGGGACCCAGACCCGAGCGGTGCTACCGGGGATGTCAGGCTGTAACAAGTCCTTACTGGCTTTGAAATAAAGGTCTGGTTTTGGCTGGGTTTGCCTGGCTGTTGAACTCACTCCCCCCACATAAAGGCCTGAAGGTCCCTTCAAGACTCACCAAGGGATTTTACTTGCTTGGGAAGTGGGACAAAAATGGGAAACACACGGGTTTTCACCTTTCTTTCCCTCCTCCATCACATTGCACTGCAGGTCAATGTTTATTTGGTGCAGCCCGCTGTCAGAGAGGGGTCTACAGTGGAGGGAGAGCAATCTGCCCCCAGGGACGCACTTCCAGTTAAGCCTGCAAGCCTAGAGAGCCTTCTCCTTTCCCCCCCACTCCGAGGCCGGGACATTACAAAAGTGAAGAACAGGCCTTTCACGGAGGGGATAAGCAAAGTTCATGGTATAGGTGACATAACTATACCCCCATCACATATCCCAGTGCATGACAGCTCGAACTCTCCCAACGAGGGGTCTCATCCCAAGACCAGCGCTTCCTCTCCTCCTTCCAGCAGCAATGCCATGCAGTCCAGCATGACGAAGGCAGCAAATGAACCTATGTGGGTGCCTTCCCTTGCTCACCCATGTCCCCGACCTCTGACAAACCTCAAGATCCAGCTGTCCTCCCCCCAGGAAATAGCTGCTTGTCTTGTCTGTCTTTTCTATTTCCTTGTTGCCACATGTCAAGTCTCTGGTAGGAAGGGAAGGAGAGGGGTATTCAACAGCATGGAGGCCTGCTAGGGGCCTGTTCCTCACTGCAAGTCAACAGTTCTTTGGGCCCGTGAATCTCTCCCTCATGAAGTCCTACCTGGGAATCAGGGCGTACCTGAGCTCAGGTGAGACCCACTGCTATCCCCCACCTGAAAGCCAGACGGGTGACCTCACTGCAGAGCTGTGATTTAATCCCATTAAAAATATCTATCTATCTATCTTGACAGTGTGTGTAATATATATCTACATATATACCTATATATCTATATATCTGTCTTGACAGATATATAGACAATATCTATCTTGACAGTATGTATATCTTCACATATAGGTAGATATTGTCTATATATCTATCAAGACACATATATATACTGTCAGAATAGACAGATAGATAGATTTGTCTGCCTATCTATCTTGACAATATATACATCTTGACAGATAGATAGATATAACTGTCTATACATCTATCCTGACAGTATATATGTCTTGACAGATATACAGACATATCTATCTATCTAGACAGTATATACGTTTCAACATATAGATAGATATTGTTTATATATCTATCAAGACAGATATACATATACTGTCAGGATGGATAGATAGATAGATAGATAGATTTGTCTGTCTATCTATCAAGACATATATGCTGTCAAGACAGATAGATAGATTTGTCTGTCTGTCTGTCTGTCTATCTATCTAGATAGTATATATGTCTCGATATATAGATATTGTCTATATATCTGTCAAGACAGATATATATATATATACTGTCAGGATAGATAGATAGATCAATCTTGACAGTATATATGTCTTGATAGACAGACAGACCTATCTATCTATCTTGACAGTATATGTGTCTTGACAGATATACAGACAAATCTATCCATTTATCCATCCATCCCCTAATATATTGGCAAGTCTCTTCTCTCCTTTTACTGCTCCTTGCAGTCACTCTGAAGCTCACCCAGTGCCTGCTGCACGTCCCAGGTGTCCCCAGAGCCACCAGGCAAACAAGAACCCTTCCGAGATTTCTACACCGTCGCGTTTCCACACCCATGCTCCCTGAAAAAAACACCCTCTCCTGCGAGGAGCGGCTCTTAAGGATTAATTATCTCACACAGCCGCGCCAAGGGAAGGCTCCGCTCAAAGTCATTAAAACTACATGAGCCTAAATGAAGCTGTTTCAAAGCCTCTTCGCTTCCCCACTTTGCTCCGTCCCCGCTCGGTCTTTGTTCCAGAAGAACAATCCCCGTTTTCTGCCATGGAGGCGCCATCTTGGGGCTCTGCCGCCGAGCTCAGGGCTGCTAATGTATAAAGAGCAGAAAGTCGTAAGTGGAGACAGCCTTGGCTGATGGGCAGGCAAGGCACACGGGGCCCTGAGTGGAGCCTTCATGCCACTCCCCGACTGAGCTCCTGTCTACGGAGGGGAAAAGCAGCCATCAGGGAAGTCAAATTCAAGAGGTTTTAAGCTTAACCATCTCCCAGCAAAGACCAGGTCTGTGCTCTGCGCTTTGCAGGGTGGAGGCAACTTGCCCTCCCCTCCGCTCCCCCATCAACTCTCTTCCCTTTGCACATCAAGGCCATCAAAGCCTGTGCCAACGAAGCACTAGCCAGCAACCCTGCGATCCCCCAGCCAGGATCTGACCTACCAAGAAAGATGTGGTCCTCCCTGAATCGCATCCAGACACTTCGTGAAAAGTGTGGACGCTGACTCCATTAATGGAGAATCGAAGAGAGTCTGGTTTGCGATCGCAGTGCGATGCATTGTGAACGATTGCCCCATTAGATCGTTTAAAAATCAACCCATGCCGCTACCCCTGAAGCAGTCAAACTGGTTATCAAATTGAGGTATTAGTCTATGAATGTTGTAAACCTAAAATGTCATACGAAAGAGAGCCAGTCCGAACAGCTGCGGTAAGAATCAGTCCGTTGGATGGATGCGTCAGAGCAGTTTGTGGCTGTCCTGGCCCAGGGGATGGGCACGAGGATCAGTTGCTGCAAAGGAAGCTAGGATCGACTTCAGAGCTTTGTTCCTCTGTAGCAACAGCCTCCTTGCACGCTTTTACCACGCGGCAAAGGAGAGGCGATTTACCCTCCCAGCACTGCCTCTTGGCGATGGAGAAAGTGACCTCATGCTGCACAGGGCTTTGGGGAGAGAGCAGGCAACAGGGTTTAATGAGCGATAACAAAGTAGTTACTGCGCACTGGGAACAGCAGAAGCCGGGCCCTCGCTGCATGGACAAGAAACTAGTCAGCATCTTACCCAAAACGTGCCCACTGCAGTCAGATGGTCTAAACCCACGCTGCTGCCCCCCAATTCACCGTCTTTTAAAGGGCAATTTATAGCTGGGCAACGCCACCCTAGCTCGGCGTGCATGCTTTAAGCCAAGGACAGACTCGGGGGTCCGGTGCAAAAGATACAAGCGCCGATGGGGGAGGGATTTTAATCCCGGATTTTATTACCGGAGCGAAAGCTCTCAGACTGTGCTCTGCTTTGCAGGAAAGCTGCCAGCTGAAAGGCCTCCTCTCCCTGCTCCCTACTGAGTGGAAAAGCTGGGCAGAGCTTGCAGGTATTCCTATAACGCCAGGGGATGGGAGAGAAGCCACTTTGCCCCAAGCTGTCCAAGGGAACCAGTGGTTTGGGGGCCTGCCTGAATGGAGAACGCGTCCCGGGGTCCGATCCTCAGCCACGGCATGGCAGCATTTTCCTCCAAAATCATTTGTTACTTTGCAAAGGCTATTCCCCCTGCCACTGTGGTCTGCATAGCCTGCACCCGCTACCGCGGTCCTCACTGTGCCACGTGTCCCGGTGTACGAGCCTGCCACAATTGCTCCCTTTGCCCCCCCCCGCACCTCCGCTGTCCCCTGCCCACCTGGCTGGCGTTGCGGGCTTGCAGCACGGCTTCCGTCCTCCGCATCTTTTCCAGCTCAATCTCTCTTGCAATGAGCTGCTTGGCTTGGTAAGTCAATGGCTTCCGAGCTGGGAGGTCTGGGAACCTACAGACGTCTTCCACGTTCCTGCAGGGAATGAAAGAGTGGGTTGTGGGGGGAGGAAAAAGAAAAGCACGGTATAAAGAGATGGGGCCCATGAGCAAACACGAGTGGGTGGTGTCTCTCAGCCCTGCAGCTGGCAGAGGCCCGGAGGTCAATGAGGTGCCCGTCTCCCATATCTGTGCTTTTCAGCATCTCTGCTGGGCTGTAAGACTACGGATCTGGAGGTTTTGTTTCGCCTCCATCACAGCCGATGGCGATTTATGGAGCATTTGTTCTTCCATCTCTTTCTTTTCAGAACAAGTGGGAAGGGAGCGTGGTGTGGCAATCACAGGGCAAGGGGCCAGGAGCGAGGAGACCTTTCCATCCCTTCCCATTTCCTCTCTCTGCGACTGTGGACAGGTCAATCTTCCCTTGTGCTCACTTTCCCCACCCTTAAATATGGACCTGCCTCTCAGGATTGTGCTGAGATTTCTCTCTCTGAAAAAAAAAAAACACCTTTGAAGTCACCTGGCAAAATAGGCCAGACATCCAGAACAGCATTAATCCAAGGGATTTTAAACCATCAAAAATTCACAGCGGGCTACGTGTTTTTGCAGTTTTGATTTATTGTGACTGGTGTAACAGTAGTCCAGGGAGCCAGACCGACAGCCCCGGGGGAGCCAGGACTCCCTTTATCCACGCCAGAGCAGCAGCAACGAAATGGTCCTTTGTGCACTGCTCTGCACAGCATTAAAGGACTTGCATGCTCTTGGTGATCGCCAGCTTGCTTCTCTTTCTAAACAGGCTTGTCCTTTTTCCAGAGACTGATTGTAACACCAGAAAGGACCATTAAAACCCGCGTCGAGACTTTCCTGCCTGCCGCAGACCGGGAATGTCAGCTAGTCGTTCTGGTATCGTGCCTGCTAATTGCAGCTGAACTAAAATGCATCTTTTTAAGAGCCTTCCCATTCCAACTTAATGGCTCCGTGGCGTCCCTCGGTAAACGGCTTCAGTGGTTAATTGCCCCAGCTGTCAGAGGCACGTGCCTTATTGCTAGTCTGAATTCATCTGGCTTTGGCTTCCAGCCACTGGGTCACGGTATGCTTTTGTCTGCTAAAACAAAGAGCTCTTTAGTGTCCGATATCCTCTCCCCATGCAGGCACTTATCTGCAGTGATCAAGCTGCCTCTTAATCTTGCTTGGGACTAACTATGTCTCAATCCCATGCTCCCAACTCAGCCTCACCGAGCTGAGAGCAAACCTTGAAAGCAGTAAAATGCCTGGGCCGTGCACGGTCAGTACCGTCTGCCAATGCCTCCAATAGCCGAGTTATTCACCCCTTTATTCCCTTTCGTTCTAGTGCCCTGCCGCTGAGCTGCTGCAGAAGCTAAACCAAATAGGTGCCCTGGGTTTAAAATATTTTTAGAAGATTATTCATTGAGAAATCCTGGATTAAATGGATTAAGGGAATAGGGCGGAGGAGAACTAGGCAACAAAAATGGCAATGACACTGGGGAGCAGATAATTCCTACAGCTTAAGGGCCTGGCCCATCCCGCGACAGGCTGAGCGTGCATCTAATGGGAACGGAGATGAGGACAGCGGTAGAGGACATCTCCAAGGAGAAGGGTGTTAATCTCTCGTCTTCCCTTTGATGCTGGGGCTTTAACGCCTGATCCAAAGCCCATGGGATTCTGCCTATTTACTGCCCCAGGCTTTGGATCTAGACTGAAAGGGTTAAATCCCTGAGACTTAACGATGTCTGAAGTGACGTGCCCGAATGCAGGACTGCCGGTATCGATGGATTTAGAGAGCAGGTGCATTCAGGACGAAGTCTTGGCATCGGGCTACAGCAAGGGAGGGAATAAAGGCAACATCCCTAAGGTCTCCTCATCCTCACAAGGGCTCTCGAGGAAGCTGCACATCACTGAAGAGCTGTATCACCCGATCCAAAATTAACCCCCACCTCCAGCTCCAGCCAGATGTGCATTCGCTCTCAGCTAAGTCGACCAAGCTCTCGATACAGAAGACAAGCATAGGAAGCAGTGCAGATATAGTCACCCCGGGGCCTACCGCCCATGTTGGAGCACAGCCCGCTGTGTCGCAGGGTTTTTTTTAAGCTGCCTCTTGTATTAAAAGTGTCCTACTGAGTTAATGGTTTTAATAAAGCAACCTGCAGAGATGCTGCTGGGGAAGCCTTTTGCCACAACCTCCTACCCGGCACCCTAAGTAGTAAGGAGAGAACAGATCCTATCCACCTCCCATCATTGATTTCATGGAGATACGGCTATCAGGAGTCACCGCAGTGAAGCAAAGCAGTTTTTATTCTTAATGGGATTTGAACATCGGGCTTGAACGAAAGCCGTCGCCAGAACAGTTAAACCGGGAACGCGGCCTAAGCCGCTCTCAGCAACCCAATTAGCACCCTCGTCTGACTGTTATTTTACGTCTTATTCGCATTCGATAAGCTTCCTAGTTCGGGACTGAAAGTTGCTCCTTCCCGTTTTCCTGTCATCACTCAGCCACCTTTAACAAGAAGCAATAAAGGGGTAAGACACGCATCTGCAGGGAGCTAACTTCAGAAACCGAGTGCCGTTTTTAAAGGTCGTTTCAAACCTCGCTGTGCTTCTGAATCTCCCTCGGCTTGAAACAACCGGCGTCGCCACCGAGAAGGGAAGGGACCGGATCTCGGTGTCTTGGTTTTCCACCGATACGTCATCGTGCAGCTCAGAGTGCAAACAGGACACCGCACAGCTTTGCACAGGGTTCGTTAGAGTAATTATCAGTGCACGGCAAAAAAACCAAGAAAAAGCCCAGGCTCAAACTTAAACGCCAGGCATTAAAGCAGATGCCTGCCGCAAGCTCGTGTCATGGGGTTTCCACTTTTTGCAGCATTTCATTTTAGGGGAGGAGTGGGGATGACACCATTTCATTACAGCTGGAAGCAAGTTGTACATTTTTCCACAGAAAAAGCCATGTGTGCAGCTCCTACAAAGGTTAAAGAATGAATACAAGCCCATCTATGGCAGAGGGAGTTCGCTAGCAAAAAGACGCATACAGTGAAGCCCATGCAAAAAACAGAGGGACGACTTCTGGTCTTAAAAGACCGCAAGAAAAATACTCTCCGAGTTCCCAAGTACACTTCCAGTTTACCTTAAAATCAGAAGGGCCCCCTCTGTTAAGCTTCACCCTTATTAGTTTGCCAATTCAAAGCTTTACAGTCCCTTGGGTACTCCCTTGACAAAAGGTTTCACTGTAATTAAATGCAGGTTTTTGATTTAAACGCAGGTTAATTTTTCCTTTTAATTAAATTCTTTGCAGGCAGAAAATGGATTAGCACAACTCTTAGCTTTAGTCCAGGTCCTATAGTTTTACAGCGTAATGCATTCCCAATGCCCGAGATGAACTGAGAGTACTGCAGGTGTATACAGCACAAAGTTTTAAAATGACTAGATCCAGGGTCAGTAATGAAACAGCACTGATACTAAACCCAGCAGATAAAAACCAAGGGGATGAATTTGTTCCAGGTGTAACCTCATCACGGTCAATGAGGTTACACCAGGCATCACCCACAAACCAGAGGGAATAGAGCCCAATCTTTGGAAAGGCCGTGGACCACCAAGACACGCCGGGACTGGCTTTAGCCCCCAGCCAGTTGAGCAAAATTTGATCTCCTCTGCATGCAGGTGAACAGAGACATCACTCGCCCCATAGCAAGCCTCTCCAGGAGCTTTTTAATAAGTCTACAAACTCATTTTCAGCTACTAATGAGCAGCACAGCCAGAGCGATGCTGTGCAACCCAACAATGCCAATCAGAGCTACACAAAGAGACCTCTAGCAACACAGACATCCCCCCATTAGTCCCCGTTAGTCTCTCTTCTGGTTTTACACTGCGTGGACCGCTTAAAACAAGGAACGGACCCTGGACAGATTAGCTCATTACACTGCAAATCTGTGACCAAGCCTATTTTTTATTGCACTGGGCAAACACAGCCTTCGAGCCACTGTGCCTCTCTAGAATCGAAACCAGCCTCAGCATGCAGATGCAGCCTGAGCATTTAACCCCCCCGAAAAATTCATAAGGAAAGATAACTATCATCCCTGAGCTGAGCTGTGCATTTTTGGGGAATGTCAATGTTTCCAAGTGCAAGAGGTTGTCTCCTTCCAGCCCCGTTCTGGCTTCGGACCAACTCATCAGCCAGGTGTAAAATTACTCCAGGCGAACGTTTTGGCGAAGGCAACTGGACTGCTATGGGTCTGGAGGGAAAGCTACACGCAATGTCTGCAAACAGGATCCCAGCAAGGGTCCTGTCCTGGGAAACCGGATCCCGAGAAATCTTGTATGTCAAGTTTTCCTTCTTGCGGCCGTCAATCCAAGCTTTCCCTCTCCATCTGCGCCCGCCGTTTCCTTCCATCAAGCGCGGTCTCATGTCGAATCGGTCATTCAGGAGCCCACCTGCCCCCCGCCAAGGGGAAGGAGTCTTTCACTGCTTGGCGAGGTTCAGGCCATGGTGACTGTACTTCTCCGATAAGTTCCTCGCCATCTCGTCCAGGGTGGACTGCTGGAGCATGGACGGCAGGTAAATGAACAGGTAGATCAGCCCGAGGAGCAGCAAGGCGATCGCCAGCGGCACCCCCCAGTCGGTGATGAACAGAGTCTCGTGGCAGCGAGCCTGGAACATAGGAGCAGCGGCTCGGGCAGCATGCTAGCGACTCGAGGGCAAACGGAGAGCGGCCGACACCTTCGGGTCTTCCTCTGTCGGCTCTTCGCACCCCAGAGGCAGCTGCTTTCCATGCTTTAATCCGATTACCGCAAACAAACCATCTCGCTACTCCACCCTCTGCTCAAGGCGCGGCGCACAACCTTGCAGGTGCCGAGACAACACGATGCAAACCCTCCCTCCGTGCTGCCCTCGAGAGGGGGGATCGTCCCCCCCTCCCCGCACCCAAACCCTAAGAGGTCACATGGGGAGGGTGGGAGATCACTGACATATTAGCACATTCCTGGAAAGAGGCAGCTCAGCGATGCAAAACCGGGAGGAGGGAG